AAACTATACTTCCCTCGTGAATTCATCACACTAAAGCATGAAAAAAGATGAAAAATGAAAAGAAATGCTCGTTTGAGAAAAATCACCAAAAGGAGGTAGAGGTGCTAAGGGAAAAGGTTGCTAGGTTTATTGCTATGTTGGAACAAAGTCAGCAAAATCACATGTCTTTAGAAATTATCGTCCAAAGAGAAGTCGACCGAGTCACCTACATTTATGAAAGTGTTCACCGCCAATCGGCTAGATTGTTGCTCTAGTACCACCTCTTGGTATTCCTCATTTAGAGCTTATTGATACTACTAATCATGCCAACTATCGTACACTAGGGGGCACGTATGAGTTTGCTCCTAAATCTTCAAGCCCTACTCTTATGTTACCTCAAACTATCTAAGCACCGATAGTGACAACTATTGATTTTGTTACTAAAGAGTTGGCCAAGGAAAAGATAGCCTCGTAACTTGAAACTAAGAAGCTTACGACCACTAAGGAACTTCGAGAGCTATCAAAAGTGTAGATATGTACGATCCCCTTCTTAATGAAGATAAATATCCGATGCCGAATATGGTGATTCTTCAAAAGTTTAAAGTGCTCGAACTTACCAAGTGCATTGAGAGTAAATGTCCTATGACCCACTTAAGGATCTATCCGAACAAGATGGATGAGGTAGCATATGATGAAAAGATGCTAATCTATTTCTTTCTTATGAGTCTTGATGGGTTTGCTCTCGGTTGGTTTATTGATCTAGACCAAACAAAGATCAAGAGGTGAAAAGATTTAGTGGATGTGTGTATGAGGCGAGTACGGTTTAATCTAGAGATAAAACTTGACGGATCTAGTCTACACTCTATAGAAAAAGGTCTAAGGGAATCGTTAGGGAGTATGCTCAACGATGGTAAGAAATAACATCTCATATTCATCCGTCGCTTCTTGAGAGAGAATTAGTTACTCTTTTATCAATACCTTTAAGGCTCCATATTATGACTATCCGTTGAGTAATAGGTCAAACAACTTTATGGAGATAGTGTCTATTATAGATCGAATAGAATAAGCAATCAAGTTGAGAAAGATTGTCGATCCTTTAGAATTTAAACACAAGAGGAGTAACTTCAGCCAAAGAAAAGACCAAGAGGTACATCAAATTAGAGGATCTTTTTTCATTCTTAGAGGGTAATGGAATAACTCTTAGAGGAATAACAATCGATTTATCCATCAAAACAACATGCCCAACACAACTACATCGTTCATAATTCCTACAAATGCCAATCCGACCAACGTAATTAGATTGATAGCCTAAAAATCAAACTTTCTATAATACCAAAGATCATAAAATCCCTATCAAACACCAATCATCACTACAAAGCCACTAAAACACCTACCTTACCTAATGTTATCCCCAAATACATTATTGAAGCCCATAATAGTTCATAAACCAATCAAGATTACCCAATCAAAACCCTATAAGGAATACCGACAAGGAGCAATTCAATGATATATTATCGTTGCTTCCTATATCTCTTAGTAATCTCTTTAAGCACTTAGTAACTATTGGCTAAATAACTCATGTGACACTCACACCACTTCAACCACCATTCCCTTATTGGTCTAAGCCAAATAAAGTTTTTGTATACCACGGTGGTGCCAATGGTCATAATATTGAAAACTATTTGAGCTTCAAGAAAAAAGTATAAAATTATATTGATCAAAGCCTAATTGGGTTTGAAGATTCCTCAAATCCCCTAAACATTAATTCCAATCTCTTGATGAATCATGCCACTTATTGAAGGAGTAAACATGCTATCATTAGATGACATAAAATCAGCCGGGAGAGGAGCTGAGTGATTGGTTTGATGAAAAAATGCCTATTGTTTCTAAGACTGAGTGATTCTCTTATTATGATTATCTTTTCTTTTCTTTGACTATAGCTCATGAGTACAATGTGCTAAATTTTTATCATGCTTTCACAATAATATTATTTTATAGGATCGTGTAAATTTTTTTTCCATCCTCGCTTGCTTTTTTCCATTCATCTTATTTGCATTCTCTCTTTAGGGCATCCAAGATGATTATATCCTAAAAATACCAAATGATTATGCTAAAAAACTATTGGCCTAACTCGATGACACTAGACAAAGAAAAAGTGTTATGATTTTCATGGGTTGAATTGTTTTTATGAATAAAAACGAAGTTTCCTACTGTCTTAGCATGGCATATTATTCATTTGAAGCCAAGAGATATTTATTTAAAAGTATCATTCATCATTTTACGCCATCTAAGTCGAAAGAAGTAAAATGGTGAATCCATTCAACATATTTCAAAAGTGGTCGACTTTAAAAAACATGTCATGTAAATGTAAGGGGGAATTCTTTTTATCAAAACCAAAAACATCTTTTATCTATGAGTTTTTTTTTAAGACAACCTTGCCTAGGATAATATAGTGATGCCTTAAACAAGAACCCAAATGATTTGATATCTTAAATGATAATAAGTGATGCACACTTGAGTCATGATACCATTTGATCTATCGTTTTTCCTTATAAATCATGATTTTTAAATGAAACTAAAGCCTACCAACCTGGTTGAGTCATATTAGAGATGAAGAAATACCATTTTTATTATATCCTTCATAAATAAAATTTACCCTTCTTCATCCCACTTTGAGCCTTTAATAAGTTTTTTCAATAAAAAACTAGATCGGGATCACCCCTTACATTGGGGGCTAGTTGGAGATGTATGAAATTGATGATATTCTCCTAAAAATCAGAGATTTGGTTCACATGAATCAAGAAGAGCCTTGACAATCATTCTAGCATATTGGAGGCAAAAAAATAATGCATGACATTAAATGAAAAAAAGTGTTATCTAAAGGGCCCGTATCGGGATTCAACGCTACGTTGTGGAATCTCAAAAAAAAAAAAATTATGTGAGTGAACACACAAAAAAAAAAGAACTAAGATTAGAAGATAAGAAATGCCGAAGTTAGTATGCTCAAGCCTAAAATAATTTTGATGGATGATCACGTGATCCCGAGTCTTTATACCCTTAAATACCTTTTGAGATTTTTTACGTCCTTTTATTTATGAGGCAAAACCTTAGCCTACATTACATGCCTTCCAAAGCCCTTTATGGTCGAGGATGACTTGTTTTGTGTTGATAAGTTTTAACAAAAAAAAAAAAATTGCTTGTGCATTATGAATCACCATTCATGGTATTGGATTATTAGTTTTCCATTAAATGCTTAGGGGAAAATAAAATTTTTTTCAAAAAAATAACCATTTAAGCCTAATTTTCTTGAAAATCCTTTGAGTCGAGGAAACCGCTTAAACCTATTTGAAAAGCCTCTAAGTAAAAATAAAATAAAATTTGGGCTTACCTTTCTTGAAAAGCTCGTGAGCTTATGACATCCATTTGAATATTTCACTTCCCTTAAGCCAACATTTGACACTTGTTTTTCTAAAAAAATGATTTCTTTGCAAATCTTTGATGTGATCCAAATATATGTCATTCACTTAGCCTAAAAAAATTACCTTGAGAATTGTATCATGACATTTGCATGATGTGTTTTAGCTTTTGATCAAATAAATTAAATATTTTCTTAAATGAGATTACATTCTTGTAAACATTCTCCGATTTCTTTTGAATAATGAAACTTGCTTTGATAAAAATTATTTGAATATATGACTTAAGATATGAAACTCAAAACAACTAAAAGTTGAGTCTTCGAAAGAGATCAAAATCAAAATCAAAATCAAATCGGATCAACTTCACTTTTATCCAAAGCAACAAAGAAATCATTTGAGTTATGGTCAAAATTTATTAGAGCAATCATTCCAGACTTCGTTTATCTTATTCTTGCTTCGTTCAACATAACATGATTTGCTCTCTTTTACCTTTTAGAATAACCAATTTCCATAAATATGATCAGTCCTTACAAAGTCTTTTCTTTGGTTTTATGGACGATCCCGATTGACATTATTTATGAAATGTAATGACATAACAAATCAATGAATGATAACATGATAAGAGTTTTGCTTAAACTTGGTAGGAAAAAAGCTTTCGTGTGAAACTTGGCATAAGATCCTTTCTTTTGAATTAAGGATGACGATGATAAAAACTATTTGAATGATTTCTAAGTTAAATTATTTTGATATGTGCTACAAAAGCTCGAACACTCGGGGCAATACTCTAGGAGAGTAAAAGGAAGAACAACAACTTGCGTAATCATAGAAGCAAATGCCATTTAGACAACATGAATGATAGTTAGATCAAAAGTTTTTAGAAAAGGACATAATTAAAAGATATGTGATTAAACAAATAAAAATTTGAAAGAGCGACCAGCACTGGAAACCATGAGCCTATTTCAATGAGGATGGATTGTAGCTAAAAGGGATGTTTATGTTTTGGTAGTGACAAGTTATGTTTCTTTGATGACAATCGGGTATATTGCTTACACTCTTATGAATTGCCAAGGAGGGTCTCTTTCACCTCGAGGATGGTTACCTGCATTAACCTATGTTTTAAGGAAAGTCCTCAACGATTAACAAGTGATTTAAAAAATAGCCAATTATCATTTGACCTCACCAATTAATTTGTTTACCACTCTTCTATGATTTTCTTTACAAGCTTATTATGCAAATCCAAAGAATAATTAATTTTCAATGGCTTCGCGTCGTACGTATTGTAAAAATGGGGCAACTGTTAACATCCAAATTTTTCTCAAGAAAATAAAAAAATACAAAAAAAGGAATAAAAAATATCATCAAGGGATGTGACTGAAAAATGGGAGAGAAAAAGACCAAAATGGAGTCGGTTCACGAGATGAGGGACCAAAACAAACTTAGCCCAAAAAAATCCTAAAAAACCCAATATAAAAGCCCATTTTTTTCCAAATTTTAAGGGTAGCTACTGTTCAACTTCTCTCTTTAGAAAAATCCAACCAACTATCTCTCACTAAAATAAAAATCTAGTAAACTCTTCGATCCGATTGGTCCGCTCCAGCCTTCTCCCTAACCTAGTCCAATTCGTTTTACACCTTTAGTCGGTTTAGCGACCATGTTGTCCACCTCCAATCGATCAGCCCCATGCCATCCACCTCCAACCAAAACTTTTCATCTAGCCATGCACTTTAACCTTCGTCCAATTGTTGTTCCTCCTTTGTCCGATGCCGATCCGGAAGATCCATTCTTTTTCTCACCATGGTCCGATCTAAATCACATTTCTAGCCTCGGCTTTCGACCAATAATGTTCTACCAGCGGTTGCCCAACGTTCAATAATCATTCCTACTTTGTTGAAGCTCCATCGATCAACAACAATCCGGTTCATCCAACGGCTCAATCCCATCCAATCGACCCTTCGCTAGTTCAATCCGATTGGTCCAATGTTGATCAACTTCTCCTTCGTCCAATCGATTCGATCTGAAGCTTCTCCATGTCATTTCGTCAAATTAGATCACTAACACCTGTCCTTTCTCTCCGAGTTGATTGAATATCGGTGTGCATCGGGATTGAAAAGAGTCGAACAAATCTCAATTCAATAGTCTAATTTGCCTCTTGTTTATAGTAATTTATTTTATCTTTTGCTTTATTTTATTTTATTTTAATATGTATTAAATCTGATTTGTATATTATGCCTATAAATTAATTAATTTGTTTTAATATGTTTGTAAGTTAATTAAATTGTCGTTGTGTGGGTAAATTAAGTAAATTATTTCTTATGTATGATTTGATTGAATTGTCGAGTCGTGTTGTGTTGTGTATGGTTTAATTAAATTGTTGTTGCATTTGTGTTGGTTTGGTTGACATTGTGCTTGTTGATGTGGTTGAATGCTCATTGTTGTTTGTAATTTTTTTTAATACACGTTAGTTCAAATCTTAACTTGGATTGTTTTTACCAATCATGACGATTAATTAATATTATATCGATTTTTGCCTAAAAAATATGACTCTTGGATCGTTTTAATATTGTGTCAATTTTTTCTATAAAAAAAGATGTTTGAGTTGTTCTGATTCGAATCCTATTTTTGATTCGTTTTTGTCAATTTCAATGATTTTCCCTAATTTGTCGATTTTGTAAATTTTACCTATTTGTCCACTTTTGCCTAATTGTCGATTTTTGCCAATTTTTGCCTAATTATCGATTTTTTCCCAATTGTCAATTTGTTGATTTTTCCTAATTGCCCATTTGTCTATTTGTCAATTCACCAATTTTTTCTATTTGTTAATTTTTGTCGATTTGTTGATGTTTGTCGATTTTTACCTAATTGTCGATTTTGTTGATTTTTGTCAATTTGTCAATTTTTTATTGATTTTGCCTATTTGTCGACTTTTCTTAATTGCCTATTTGCCGATTTTGCCTAACTATTGATTTTTATCAATTTTTTCCAATTTATCGAATTTTTATCGATTTTGCTTATTTGTCAATTTTTGCTTAATTGCATATTTGTCAACTTTGCCAGTTTGTCAAATTGCTTATTTGTTGATTTTGCTAATTTGTCTATCTTGTCAATTTTTTTATTTTTCCTAATTTCCTATTTTGTCTAATTATCTATTTATTGATTTGTCAATTTTGCTTATTTTATCAAATTACCTATTTGTTTATTTGTTGATTTCATCGATTTGTCTATTTTGTCATTATTTGCCTATTTCTCCTCGTTTGCCTATTTTGTCAATTTGCTTGTCTTGTCTGTTTGCCTATTTACCCCTTTTTAAGTTTTATTTTTCATGTATATCATTTGAGCGACATTAGCAAGCATATACTCATGTGCACCATTTTTAGCTATTCATTACAAAGTGAGAACAAAGTCTTTGATAGACCAAGTCCCAAATCACTAGACTAGTGGGCAAATGCTTTAAAAATAGGTATAGCCTTTCATCATTAAAAAAATAAAAAATCAAGTCGGTTTTGTATGCAATGCAGCTTGCATTAGGTAAGACGAGATAATGTGATTTTTAATCTTCCATACACATAATAAATCCCTTATCTAGAATTCTAAATAGACCAGTTATAAGGTTTTCTAGTAACCATAAGACTAGGTGACCACTCCAATCACATTTACCCATTTTCCTTATTTTTTCTTAAAGTCATTGCCGTCGCCCCCGACATTGCCTTGTGAAAAACTCGTAGATCACCTTCATCATAATCCTCAACATCAACAAGTGCTCTTATCCCTACCTTTCGACACTCTCATTTTTTGTGACCAACTTTGTTGTAGGGCGACGTGTTGAAGTGAAAAAATAGAAAATGGGCCAAAATGATTGGAGTCACCACCTAGTATTATGATTACTAGAAAACCCTATGACTGGTTTATTTATAGTTCTAGATAAGAGATTTATTACGTATGAAAAAGATTAAAAATCATCCTATTTCGTCCTACCTAGGCTAAGTTGCATTGCATATAACATTGATTTGACTTTTGATTTCTTTATGATGAAAATCTATACCTATTTTTCAAATATTTGCCTACCAATTAAGTGATTTGGGACTTGGTTGGTCAAAGACCTTGTCCTCACTCCGTAGTGAATAGCTAAAACATAAAAAGACATGATAAATGCAAGGATATATGGCTAGTGCTCGCTTAAATGGCGTGTGTGAAAATAAGGCTTAAAAATAAGAAAATAGGCAAACAAATAAAATAGAAAAATTAGCAAAATAGGGGAATAGGTAAAAATAGACAAATAATGATAAAATAGGTAAATCGAAAAAATCAACAAATTAACAAAATTAGCAATTAGGCAAAAATTAAGAAATAGGTAAATAATGGCAACATAGGCATATTCAAAATCAACAAATAAGCAATTAGGTCAAAATCAATAAAAATTGGAAAAAATGAGCAAATTGGAAAATAATGATAATTAGGCAAAATTGACAAGTAGGAAATATAGACAAAATGACAAAAATGTCGATAGATGAGAAAAAGGACAAGATTAGCAAAAATCCTTGAAGTTGGCAAAAACGATGGCAAAGTTGAGGAAAGTGATAAGTGGAAAAATTAGCAAAATTGGCAAAATAATAACAAAGATGACAAGAAAAATAAAAATAGCAAAGTTGACAGAATCGATAAATTTGATGAAAAATGGCAAAAAAGAGAAGATTGGAAAAATTGGCACAAAAGGCAAAAATGATCTACCAATAAGGTTCAAATTGACATGACTTTAAATGTCATGATTTTTAAGAAAAATCGACACCATGTAAAATTAATTGTCACAATGCGCCATAGTGGTCCGAAACGAGGCTTGGACCTATGTAGCCCAAAATCACATTTTTTTAAAGACGAGATAAACATAACATCTATTAAACCAATGTGATGGGAAAAAATGATCCCGAAATAAGATTCGAACCGACACCATTCAAAAATCACATTTTTCAATGAAATGTCCAAATTAATCGATATTTGACAAAATTGGCTCAAAAAACAAAGTCCAAACTTGCATGATCCAAAATTGAGCTTTTTTAAATAAAATTGACATGCGAACAATTTAACGTTATTATCAACAAAGTGGTCTAAAAACATGGTTTGAACCAAGTACGAAGCAAAAATCAAATATTTTAAGATAAATTGATACAATTCAATTAATTGTCACAATTGACCAAAAGTAGTCCAAAACCAAGATTCGGACCAACGTGTCTTTTAAAAAATATATAGAAAAAAATAGTAAACATTCAAACACATCAAAGCATAAACATTGACTAACCTACAAATGCAATAATGATTTAATTAAATCGCACACACCACAACAGTTCAATTAAATCATACATCGGTAACAATTTAAATTAATTACATAACATATCAATTTATTTATTACAAGCACACATCAATGCGAATTAGATTTAATACATATTAAAATAAAATGAAATAAAATGAGAGGTAAAATAAATTACTATAAACGAGCGAGTGGATTAGACTATTAAATTGAGATCCATTTCGATTCTTTTCAACCTTGAATGACATGTAGTTGGATAGGGCTACCGATCGGAGTCGAGTCCAACTAAAACCGGTTCGATCGATTTGCTACGGATCAAGTGAAGGGAATGCCAATCGATTGCCTGGATCGGTTGGAGGAGAGGCCGATCGGAGCTGGATCGACTAGATTAGAGCCGACAAGGTAAAACAAAGCTACTAGAGAGATTGAACCAAACTATTGTTTACCGACGGATGCTCGGATGGACTACCAAAGAACGACTAAAGACTACCGGATGTCAAGTAATTGATTGATCGATTGCTGGAGCAGCATCAAATGATGTCGTAGGCTTGTCGATTGCTGAAAGAGCTCGCTAGTTTGGTTTGAACTCGGAGGCTATTGACTAGAGTTTTAGGGGCGATGATCTAATTTGGTGTGACTAGAGTGGTTGAATCGAATGTGGAGAGACTACTAGATTGACTAGATGAATTGCTAAATCGATTTGTAAGCTTGACCGACGTGGAGGATGGGTAGCCAAAAATTTTAGAAAGAGAGAGTATGGGTGGTCGTTGGTTTTTTAGAGAGAGAAGCTATTGGAATTTTTTTAAGAAAAGAGGGTTTTTATACTCGGCTTTTTAGGGTTTTTTGGCTAAAATTCATTTGGTCACTTATCTCGCTAACTTGCTTTATTTTGGTCCTTTTCTCTCCCATTTTTCAATTGTATCCTCCAATTGTATTTTTCAATTCGCTTTTTATTTTTGGATTTTTTTGAGAAAATTTTCGGTGCTAATAATTTACCCCTCATTACAAAGTTTATGATGCGAGCCATTAAAAAGCTTACTTTTTTTTTTTACTTCACATAGTAAGCTTGTAAAGAAAATCATAAAAGTAGTAAACAAACAGAACATAACAAATAAATCAATTGATAAGTTTGAATACCGGTTGGCTTTCTTTTAATGACTATTCAATTGCAGAGGACTTTTCTCAAAACATACTTTAACATGGGTAACCATCCTCGAGGTTAAGAAAGTGACCTTTCATCGGTAATGCATGAGAACGTGATAGAAAGGTAAGTGACTTACCTTATTGTCATTGAAGAAACATAAATTATCACTACCAAAAAATATAAACTTCCCTCTTAGCTACAATCCATCCTTGCTAGAATCGGCTCACAGCTTCTAGGTCGGCTGATTTAGGAGTTTTTTTGTTTAATCACTTGTCTCCTAAATCATTTTTTTCCTTCTAACATCTTGTTCCCATGAGTTAGAAGGACATTACCTTTCTGCTTGAATAGGTAACCACTTATTATTGATGCCCCTAGGTCGTTGCTCTCAAACACTTTGATCTTTGCCATCGCACGTTGGTGAATTGCACTCCAAAAATGTCGAAGCAACCTTTGATTATCATCAATCGCCTTTTTTATATACAAAAAAGGCTCATGAAAAAGTCTTTTTGTCTACGAAGGACTAATAAAATTCTTATCGTTTATATTGCTTATCCTTTCTTTGTGCTATCATTTTTCATAAGTCACATTAAA